CTTTAGTGTCCCCCAAATAGGTTACTTCTCTCGCACGCACCTGCTGACCCAGGCCTTCCCGCCTTTGCTCCGGCGGTTCCTTCCGCTGCACAACCTTCTCTCTGCGAACTCCTACTTACCCTTAAAGCGGAGCTCGCCTGTCACCCACAGGCTCCCTCCTCCAGCACACACACACATCAGTGATCCCCAGTGCTGGGGCTTAGGACGTTACACGATCTCTCACTGCCACCGTCATCTGTCAGACAAATTCTGTAGTCATTCAACAAGTATTCAGTACTGAGCACCTACTGTATCCAGGCAGCGTTTCGGGCACTGGGAATACAGCGGAGAACGAAACAAACAGAAACGCCCAGAAATGCCATGTTCTGCCCTCCTGGAGCTGACATTCCAGAGCAGCTGGCCCATAGAACTTTTGGCAATGACAAAAATGTGCTTTTTTCTGCATGTTCCAATTTGGTAATCACTGGCCACATATGGCTAATGAGCACTTGAAATGGGGCGAAGGGGACTGAGGAGCTGAATTTTCAATTTTCCTTAATTTTAATTAATTGTGACTTAAGTAACTCGTGGGACTCCTAACTACGCTATTGGACGAAGGCACGCGCAGCTCTAGGGGAGAAGACAGATAATAAAAAAGTGAAATAGATAGGGTGTCACAGACAAAACATTGAGCGAAGGAAACCATAAACAAAAAATACTGTGTGATTCCATTATATGAAGTTCAAAAATAAGCAAAACCAATCTACAACAAAAGAGGTCTGGAGGGTGTTACCTTTGGGACCTAGTGACTGGCAGTGAGTGTAAGGGAGCCTTGTGGGGTGCTGGAAATATCTTGTTCTGGGTGGTGGTTATGAGGGTGTTTGCATGGGTTTTAAATTCACTGATTTTAATGTGAAATCAAGATTTGGGCATTTCACTGTACATGATTTTTACCTAACATATATGTGTTAGATAGCATTAATTAATAATTACTAATTATATATGTATGACCATATCTATTATGTTTGACTAAGTACTGTAAAGGAAATAAAGCAGGAGAGGACTGGATTGGCAATAGCCTCTTACTGGTCTCCCTGATTCCACACTTCCTGGTAACCCAGCCCAGGACTCTGACCTCCACCTCGTAAGGGTCTCCCCCATCCCCACCCCCACTTTCCCCAATTCTTCCCAGAACAGGAAGAATCTTTTTTTTTTTAAGTTTTTTTTTTTTATTTATTCGTTCGAGATACAGAGATACAGAGAGAGAGAGAATATGAGCAGGGGGAGAAGTAGAGGGAAGGGGAGAAGCAGGCCCCCCGCTAAGCAGGGAGCCGATGCGGGGCTCGATCCCAGGACCCTGGGATCCTGACCTGAGCCGAAGGCAGATGCTTAACCATCTGAGCCACCCAGGTGCCCCAGGAAGAATCTTTTTTAAAAGGTAAAACCCATCACATCATTCCCTTGCTTCAAAGCCTCCAAGGACTTCCCAGGGCATTTAGATACCGAAATGCTTTATGGGACTTGCAGGGCTTCTTCATCCCAGGGCTGCCTGTCCATCACTAGCTCTCTTGCTGCCTCACCGCCAACACACACACACACACACACACACACACACACACACACACACACACACCCGGCAGCCACCACTGGGCCTCTGAATCCACCAGATTCACCTGGCCCCCGGCCATTTGCATTTGCTGGTCCCTCTGCCCAGAACATGCTGCCCTGTGAGCTCTGTCTGGCTATCTCCCCCTGAGGCCTCCCTGAACACCCAGCTACCGCAGCCCCCATCAGCTTGCCTCACTATGTTCACAACACCAGGATTCTCTGAAATTATTTTCATCTTTCTCTCGCTCTCTCTTTTTATTTTTTAACTTTCTACCTCCTGCTAGAACTTCAGTTCCAGGGGGGCAAGGCTCTTTGCCTATTTTGTTCACTGCCATATTTCTTAGCCCCTAGGGCTAAAATCCTCACACACAGTAGGTGCTGAATGCATAAGTGCTGAATAAGTGAGAATATTATAATATTCCATACCTTTAGGTCTTTCTTGAAATTTCACTTGATCCGTAAGCACCGTGTTTCAAACTGCACCTTCTCCTTACACCCGGACACCTCATGGAGGCGGAAATCAACTCTCATCCCATATTGGTTTGGATGTTGGGACAGATCACGCACATACCAAGATCAAAGGAAAAGATTTATTACGCGAACACAGGAGGAGGTGTGAGGGGGTGTGAGCGGCAAGGATGAACAGGTGTGTGGCTTTGGTTTTTACTGTGGCTAGGCGATGGAGCCAGACTGAGGGTTCCCCTGAGCAGGCTGGGGGTTGTGTGGTCCGCACTGCCCAGCAGCACCAAGGGAGGGGGCAGGTGCTTTTCTATCGGCTTGCCTGGATGTGGCCAAGGGGCTAGAAAGCTGTCACTGGCCAGTCATCAAAACGGAATCTTCCTTTTTCTTGTGTCACACTTGGGCTTCTCTGCTTTGGCCCAGAAGTTACACCTGTCACTTCACTGGCTAGAAATGTTCACACAGCGCAAGCAACCTGCAGGAAAGCAATCCTTCTGGTGCCAAGGATGAAGAAAATGAAATGGGACTTGAATTCATAGCATTGTCTCTTGCCTTGTATTGGAAAAAAAAAAAAAAAAAAAGAAGGAAACTGTGGGGTAAAGACCTCACCTTAGAAATAAGGCTTTTTTTTTTTTAAAGATTTTATTTTATTTATTTGACAGAGAGAGAGAGACAGCTAGAGAGGGAACACAAGCAGGGGGAGTGGGAGAGGGAGAAGCAGGCTCCACGCCGAGCGGAGAGCCCGATGCGGGGCTGGATCCCAGGACCCTGGGATCATGACCTGAGCCGAAGGCAGACACTTAATGACTGAGCCACCCAGGCGCCCCAGAAATAAGGCTTCTGAGAGAGAGGATGAGAGCCCGTGTCTGGGCAGAGAAAAGGCTGATCAGATGGGAGGGAAAAGATGTGGTTATATGAAGGTGGACAGGAGTTTTGCCTTTTCAGCATTAAGATTATTCCTCTAAAACCTCCATGTGAGGAACATGTTAATATTTGAATGTCCAGATGCAGAAAAACAATGCCTCTGATTCTGCATATTAACTCCTATAAGTCAACAAAGAAAGAAACAAAGGGGAGGGGGAGGAGGGAGGAGAAAGGAGAGGAAGAGGGGGAAAAGGGGGAGGAAGGGAGGAGAGCAGCAGATGGTGGAGCAGGAAGATAGAAGGCAGTGGACTCAAGGGCAACCTCACCCAGCAGAACCTTCATCCACCAGCACGTGTGGGAGAAATCATCTACCTTGCTTGAGCTATCATTTCAGCAGGGTTTTGTTTCCTTAGCCAGAAACTTGTATCCTAAATGATTGGTTTGGATTTGGAAATGATCTTCATATCTACCCAGAGAGAAACGGTTGAGCAAGATATGGTCCACATAATACAATAAAATTAGGCAGTATTAATGTTTTAAAGAAGACTTCAGTGACATGGGGGAAATGATGGAGATAAAATAATATAGGAAAAAGCAAGTCCTGATTTCTGTGTGAGGCAAAGGATCTCTGAGCTACACTGTCCTTATGTCAAATGATAGGCGGCGAGTGCGTCCGGGGCAGGGTGGCTCCCAGGACAAACTGAACTTGGGGGCAAGGCAGGGTCCCAGGGTTCCAGCCTGACCCCGGTGAGTGGGTCCAGACATCCAGAGCTGAGGCCAGGCATCTTCATCAGGATCTGCCAGGAACGGGGGTGGGGCTCCGAGTAGGTGCCCTCTCAGGTGTGGGGACACCAGGTAAAACCAGCACCCACCCCCAACAGAATATTCCCAGGGAGGCTGACTCCACCCCCGCATGCGACCCAGGTGAAGCCTATCAGCTAATTCTCCCACAACGATTGGTTCAAGGGTGAACATGCGGACTGAGCCAATCCAGTCAGAATCAGTCTCAGGTGGTTTGCTGCGAAAGTGTGGGACAGAGCTGTTTCCTTTCTCTGGAAGATGTGATGTGCGTGTGAGGTGGATCTGTGATTAAGAGCCTGTCCTCTGGAGCAAGACAGCCTGAGTTCAAATCCCAGCCCCATCCCTTACTCTGAACCCCTGAGAAGGGTACTCAACACCCTATTTGTAAAATAGGTTTATTTATTTATTTCTTTTAGTGATCTTTACACCCAACATGGGGCTCCATCTCATGACCCTGAGATGAAGAGTCGTATGCTCTTCTGACTGAGACAGCCAGGTGCCCCCCTATTTGTAAAATAGGGATAATTATAGTACCTACTCTAAAGTTGTTGTAACAATAAAATGAGTTAATATAGCTAAGAAAGCACTTTGCACAGTGTGTGGAACTAAGTGCTCAAGAAATCCTAGGTGTTACTGATAGGAGACACCTGGAACTTTTGTAGCTACTGAGAAGGAATCCATCCTCAGGGCCATGGAGCTGCTGGATTCAGCCAGACCTGAGGCCCACCTGCCATTGAACTCCCAGTTCTGACCACCGATGAATTTCCTGATCATCTAGACCAGTTTGGGTTGTTTTGGATACTTGCAGCAGAAAGACTCCTCATTGATTCCCCCATGGTGTGACCTTGAGAGTCATGTAGCTCTCTGAGCCTCAGTTTCTTTACGCATAAAATGGAACTGATAATATCTGAGAGAGTGGAGACCTCAGTGCACCAGGTCTTTCCTACCATAGGCATGAACATTTTTGCATTTATACTTTGCACACATTCTCATCAACATTCTCTCAATGATCTCCACCCTTGTGCTCCCCTTGGAAAGCATTTCAATATTCCCTTCCAGTCCTTTCTACCACATACTTATCCATGGGCACCCCACCATATCCCTCAACCCTGCCTTTCCCATACAGCCCTCCATGCCCCTCCTGGACCCAGCCTCTTCACTCACCTACCTCTACCCCGTTCCCTTCCTGCAGTTCCGCCCTGAGACCACCCCACCTCCAGATAGAACTGAACTTTCCCGCCCCCAGACTGGAATAATCCCTACCAGGTTCCCTCTCCCAGGAAGTGCAGACAGAGGCCAGAGTCAGGAAGTGACTTTAATGTCTCAGGAGCTGGACTGTGAGCAAGATGGGGGCTCTTCGGGCCCCTGGCCCCGAGGGAGGGAAGGGGGTCCGCAACCAGCCTGTGTCCGCCTCTAAATCAAATGGCACCGGCGGGAACAGCCTGGGTCCTTGGATATGCAGCTCAAGCCACTTTGGCAGGGGCATATGATGTTGATGGCTCCCTTGGTCTGTGGGAAATGCGAACAAGAGTTGGGAGGGACCGAGGTGCAGGGAACAAAGGGGTTGTCTCGGGGACAGAAGCACGAGTGAAGGGGTGAGCCGACCTGAGGTCTGTCAGCTCTACAGCAGATAGCTTTATGACCTTAGGCAGGTTAATGAGCTTCTTGGTTCCAGTTTCCTCATCTGTCGAATGGGGATAATAGTAGTAACCTGCCCCACAGGGTGACCATGAGGACTAAATAAAATAGAGCAAGGGCCCATAATGAAAAGACCCTCTGGCCACCCCAGCTGTAGAGTCAGGGGACTGGTTGCTTCCCTGGGCATTGGCTGCTCCCCAGACAGGGACATGGAGGCCGAGCCCATTCTTCTAGAAAGATCTGGGCCCAGGGCCAGATAAGAAATGACAAGCAGTAACAACATGTACGCTGCATTCTGCATCTCTGCCGGCTCATAACCAAGCTTGGATGAACACTGTCGTTGCCAGGACAACCCGGTGAGGTTGTCGCTTTAGCCCCATTTTACAGATGAGGAACCTAAGGCTCAGAGAGCAGAAGTGACCTGGCTGAGGTCACAAAGACAGGGAGTGGAAAACTCAGGATTTAAACTCAAATCCAGGGGCGCCTGGGTGGCTCAGTCGTTAAGCGTCGGCCTTCAGCTTGGGTCATGATCCCAGCTTCCTGGGATCGAGCCCCGCATCAGGCTCCCTGCTCAGCGGGGACCCTGCTTCTCTCTCTCCTTCTGCCTGCCGTTCCCCCTGCTTGTGCTCTCACACTTGCTCTCTCTCTCTCTCTCTGTCAAATAAATAAATAAATAAAATCTTAAAATAAATAAATAAGCCAAACTCAGGTCCCACTCCAAAGCTATGGTCCAGCCACCACAGCGCCCTGCTCCTCTCAAAAAATGAGGGAGGTGGGGATTGGTAGGGAAAAGTCTCTTCCCATCTACTTTGCCTCAATGCATCAGAGTAGAGATGTTCATTCAACAAACATTCGTTGAACACCTACTATGTGCAGATACTAAGTTGGGAGGTAGGGCGTTCAAAGATGAACATGCTGCAAGCCCGCTCTGGAAGAGCTCCAGCCGGTGGTGGAGGCAGACAGAACACAAAGCGAACTGGGGGGAGACCCACGCTGCGCTGAGGGTATGAGCTCAGGGGAGCTCCGAGGAGAGAAGGCTTCCCCGAGGAGGTGACTGGAGTTGGACTGCGGGATGAATAGGAGCTGGCCGGGTGGAGGAAGGGCTGAGAGCACTCCAAGCAGAGGGTGGGAAAGCAGGGCAGCCACGTGGGCTTCTGTAACCTCCCCGACCTTTCATGGCAGAGTTGGCCGCCCCGCCCAGAGCCTCACCTGGAACAAGCACAGCATGGCGATTCTGGCCTTAGGGGCACAGAAGGCACCAGCACGGTCCAGGTCTATTAGGCAGCAGTCACTGGAACACTCAGAGTGGTGGGAGCACTCAGCCCCATTCACCTGTGGGGACAACTCTCGTGTCACCAGCTCTCTGGCTGTGTGGGAAGGGGAGTGAGGATGCGTGGTATCGCCAAGGCCCCAGGGGTCCAGGAAGAGAAGCCACGAGATGGTGACCACCAGGTGCCCACCCCCCTGCACCCTCCCCAGAGGAGCAGGAGAGGAGGGGGGGTTAGTACTTCCTTCCCTGGGCACCCCCCCCCCCCCGCCAACCTGGGCTAGGGGACAAATGCTCCCAGATCACACTTTGGTGGGGTGGGTGGAAAGAAAGGGAGGGCGAGAGAGATGGGGAAGGGAAGGAACAGTGATTGTGCTCAGGGGAGGGGGGAGAGGGGATTAGGGTGGGTAAGGCACGGCTGGGGGGCCAGGTCTGAGACAGCGGTGGGGGGGGCGTTGGCTGAGGGGGGAGGGCATGGTGCTGGTCATAAGACCACTTTCTTTTACCTCCAGGGCCACCAGGGAGGTGAAGCAGGGTTTTGAAGCCCTTTAGGGGGGACACATTAAGCTTCCAGCCCTGGGAACCAGTCCCCTTTTGGGGATGGTATCCACACCCACCCCTTATTTGCTCTCCAAACCCAACTGGTGCCTCCTGGCTGCTCTATGATGCCAGGGCCACCACCCTCAACTACAGTGGAAGGTTCGAAATGCTCTTTGGGCTCACCTTCATGAACTTCTTTTTAAAGGGCAGGAACTCGCCCCAGCAAGGGAGCAGGACCCCCACAAGGAGCACAAAGGCTGTGGCCATGGGCCTGGGCATCAAGGTTCAGGTTCGAGGCTCTGCTGGGGATCCAGGGGCCCCAGTGATAAACCCCTTGCCTGGCACGTGACCCGGCGCCCCAGGGGAGCGCCCTGGGCCGGGGGTGGGGGGTGAAGAAGTTAATGGTCACAGGCTGCTCAGGAGTGGAGGCGGACTGAAGCCCTTTCCAGCACTGCCAAGGACTCTCTCAGGCCCTGGGAAGCAATGGAATAAGGAAAAGAGCTCCGGTGACACCCTGATTCAAGCCTTGGACAGGCTGGATTGTACATTTTAGGGGTCCTAGGGGCCTCCATGGGTATTACTTCCAAATTGAAAAAAAACCCACCTGTGAGGGACACCTGGGTGGCTCAGTCATTAAGTGTCTGCCTTCAGCTCAGGTCATGATCCCAGGGTCCTGGGATCGAGCCCCGCATCGGGCTCCCTGCTCAGTGGGAAGCCTGCTTCTCCCTCTGCCTGTCGCTCCCCCTGCTTGTGCTCTTTCTGTCTCTCTCTCTCTGACAAATAAATAAATAAAATCTTAAAAAAAAAGAAAAAGAAACACCTGTGAAAGAAAATTTTGTTTTGAAAAATTATGCAGTCGATATACTGACATGAAAGGAGCTTCCTTCCTAACAGTCTGACTCTCTCTTTCTCTTTGTCCTTGGTGCCCCCAATTGCCCCCCACCCTGTATCTTTTGGAGGAGCTAGTGCCGACTTCTGGTGCTTCTCACGCCCTCTCCAGGTCCAGTCTTGTTGTTAGTAAGAATCAGGAGGTAAGACGAGACGGCCTCCAAGACCTAGGAGTTGTCGGTCTTGATGAGCCGTTAATTGTCTAAGAATTTGTCTGTGAAATGTATGAAAGTCAGGGCTGCGGACAAAATGGAGGGGAGGAGAGAGGAAGACTCAGAAGGAAGAGGGGGTTAAGGGACAGTGGAATGTAGCAATCAGTGGAACTGTGGGGGAGGTAGGCCTTCCTCAGGATGTCCCTCTCCAAGAAAACCCCACCTCACTTCACCTTTGCCCGCTTCTGCTTTTAAAAATTTGCTCTTGGGGCGCCTGGGTGGCTCAGTGGGTTAGGCGTCCCACTCTTGATTTCAGCTCAGGTCGTGATCTCAGGGTCGTTAGATTGAGCCTCCCATCAGGCTCCGTGCTCAGCGGGGACTCTGCTTGACATTCTCTCTCTCCCTCTCCCTCTGCCCCTCCCCCTGCTTGCTCTCTCTCTCTCCCTCTCTCTAAAATAAATAAATAAATCTTTTAAAAAATTTGTTCTTAAGAAGAGATGTAAGAAGCCCTGGCTTAGAAGGGGGTGCTACAGACTTAATTATGCCCCTCCCAAATTCATATGTTGAAGCCCTGCCCCCCAATGTAATGATATAGGTGGAGGTGGGGACTTTGGGAAGTGATTAGGTTTAGATGAGGTCATGCGGGTTCCCCCCTAAGGGGTTTAGTGCCCCGATAGGAAGAGACACCAGAGGGGCACCTGACTGGTTCACTTGATAGAGCATGCTACTCTTGATCTGGAGTCATGAGTTTGAGCCCCACACTGGTGGTAGAAATTACTTTAAAAAAAAAAAAAAAGACACCAGAGAGCTTGCTGTCTCTTTGTCTCTGCTATTCGAGGACATGGCACAAAAATGCAGCCATCTGCAAGCCAGGAAGAGGGGTCTCACCAGAACCTGACCATGATGACACCCTGATTTAGGGGTTCTAGTTTTCAGAACTGTGAGAAATACATCTCTGTCATTTAAGCTACTCAGTCTATGATATTTTGTCATGGCAGCTGGGCTGACTAATATAGGGGTCTTAAGGCTTTTCTCTGAGAATAACAGCCTCCACTGTACTCAGAGGGTTTGGGATCCATAATCCCATTTAGCTCTCGCTGTTTCAGTCAGGGTAATTAATACTCGCTGTCACAACAGAGAGCTCCTGAAATTTCAGTGGCTTGGCCCAGTAATGTCTTATTTACCACTCATGTAAAATCTGATATGGGACAGAAGACCTCTCTTCCGTCTTGTAGCTGCATCATCTGGAAGACTGGCCTCCAGGGTCATGCTAGAAGGTGGAAGAGAGAGGTGGAGGAAGTACACGGACACTTAAATGCCTCAGCCAGGAGCGACACACGCCTCTTCCACTCACAGACCCTTGGCCAGAACTAGTCACCTGACCTCAGCCTTCTGCAGGGGAGGCTGGGAAATTCAAGGAAGTCCCGGAGTATTCAGTGTATTCTATCATTTCTGCTGCATAACTCTTATCCTCATTTTACAGATGAGGAACCCAAAAGTTCAAGGCACAATAACTTGCCCAAATAACACAATTAAGTCACAGAGCCAGATATAAATGCAGGGCATTCTAGCTATTGAGCCCAAGCTCTTACCACTGTCCCACCCTGTGGTAGGTGGTCAGAAGGCTTTGTTCCCAATAAAGGGATTCTTGGCATTACTGTGTCCTCTCCCTCCAGGAGTCGTGATCTACAGCTCTCTTCAGACCCATAGTCTGCTGCTTGGGGCAGCTAGTTACCCATCCACGAAGCTCACCATCTCTCCCAGCCCCATTGTGAACTAGAGGGGATCCCCAGGCACTCATAATTCTTTGTACAGAGTTCCCTCCTTCCCTGAAGTATTTGGTCATGCCCTTGTGAGTGTTAGAAAACTGGAAAATACTTCTAACTGCTCAGAAAAGGGCAGATCTGGAGGCTAGGGCCAGCCACTGTGCGTCAGGATTGGCAAGCTGGGATTCTTGATCTGGGGTCCAAGGGCCCCTGGGAAGTTCACTGAAGGCCCTGAGGGGATGGTGGAGCCCCTGAAATTCTATGTGCATGGCTTAAAAAGTTTTTTTAAGACAGAGAACCCCTGTTCTCTGTCCCTTCACCTTCCTTCCTCTGACATTCTCCAGTGTCTTTCTTCTTTCCTGCACCTTTCTAGTGGTTTCCATGACAATGTTGTCACCGGTCTACAGCAAAATGATGAAAATGAGGGTAATGTAGGGTTTTTTGTTAAAGATAAATTTAAAGAATGCTTCTGTGTTCTAAAATTATGCCCTTCCTACTTTTTTGGTGGTTCAAATGTGTTTTTATGAAACAATGGCAATAATACAATGGTAGTTTTGTTTGGTTTTCCCTGTTGTTACATGGTTGTTATATACACATTGTTAATGTGCAAAATCTGTCAACCCCCAAAGTTTTTTGGAAGTTTTTTTTTTTAAGATTTTATTTATTTATTTTATTTATTTGAGAGAGAGAGCTGGAGGGGAGAGAGAATCTGAAGCAGACTCCGAGCTGAGCGCAGAGCCTGACACAAGGTTGATCTCATGACCGAGAGATCATGACCTGAGCTGAAAACAAGAGTCGGAGGCTCAACTGACTGAGCCACCCAGGGGCCCCAGAAGTTTTATCAGTCTGTGCAAATCCAAAATAAAATTCTGGAAAAAACTGTAGTGGAAATTGTCTGTTACTCAATTCATTCCTGAAGGAACTCCTAAGGTAATCTGGGGAGAATGATGAATAAGGAGGTGCCTGAAAGAGTTTGAGATGTGGAGACAGCCCAGCCAAAGCTTCCTAGAGAAGATGGGCAGTGGGAAATATTTGGGGGTGAAGGGGTGGAGACACCAAGGTCCTATGTGGAATGCCCAGGACAGCCCTGGATGCCAGCAGGAGGGGGCAGTGCTCTTTTTCAAAGCCTTGAAGAGAGACTAGGATTCAGGCAAGCTGAGAATAAAGGCCTTCCAATCAGGGGTTCAGGGTGAGCAAAGATTTGGAGGTAAGAATGAGCACAGCAGTGAGGACAGGCTGTCTGCTTGTGGAAGGACATGGTGCAGTCAGGGCAGTCAGTGCTTTGGGAAACTTGCAGGGCCATGAGGGTAACCCCAGTTGAGGTGGCTCCTCAATGGACACATGGGCTGGTGGTGGCAGTGGGGAGATGGGGGATTGCTGGTTCCTGACAAATGGGGATGGATGTTGGCAGGCAGAAACACAGATACCCAGAATAGCCCAAGTTGTGACACGTGAGGATTGCTCTAGATCCAGGAAATGCTCCCCCAGGGGCAGGAGTGAGTCATGGACATGTTCCTTTGGCCAGGGACAATGCCAAAGAAAGGTTGCGTAGAAACATGTGCCCACTGCCTCGCATTCCCCAAAAGCATTAGGCTACAGTTCATAGACCAATGAATTTCGCTTTTTTTTTTTTTTTACTAAAAGAGATACATTTTATACTGGTATTCAGACAACCCATAGATATTGTTAACATCCATTCCAACCAGTTGATGTCTGTGTCATGCTGGTGGTTGAATATTTGGATTATCATCACTGCAAATGTGTGTGTATGTGTGTATGCAACTAAAGTTTCACAAAATAACACTTACATTTACTATATGTGATCTGTTCTGAGATTATTCATTCTATTCCATCTTTTAAAAATGTTGGTTAGGGGGCGCCTGGATGGCTCAGTCAGTTTAGCATCTGACTCTTGGTTTCAGCTCAGGGTTGTGAGATGGAGGCTCCCCACTCAGTGTGGGCTCTGCTTGGGATTCTTTCTCTCTCCCTGTCCTTCATCCTCTGCCCCTTCCCCCACTCAGGCTCTCTCTCTCTCTCTAAAATAAATAAAATCTTTAAAAATGTTGGTTAGAGGGGCGCCTGGGTGGCTCAGTTGGTTAAGCGACTGCCTTCGGTTCACGTCACGATCCTGGAGTCCCGGGATCGAGTCCCGCATCGGGCTCCCTGCTCGGCAGAGAGTCTGCTTCTCCCTCTGACCCTCCCCCCTCTCATGTGCTCTCTCTCTCTCATTCTCTCTGTCTCAAATAAATAAATAAAATCTTTAAAAAAAAAAATGTTGGTTAGAATCCACCAAATTGATTTCACCGCTCTATTGAGTCCAGCTGACTTGACCGTAGACATCTCTCGGTCTCCATTTGCCCACTGATTCATTCATTCACCAAACACGTAGTGACACATGCTTTACGTTAAGCACGTTGTCATCAGGCTTCAGTTGCAGCTAACAGACACCACTGTACCTGTT